CATTCTACTGTTGTTTCTGGGTGGTTCTCAGAATCTCAGTCTCCTTGTGATCACTATCTTATTTTTTTTCCATTTTTCATTATTATTCTTTATGCTTGCTTTGATCATTCATGGTACAAGTTATATAGTATGATTTTTAAGGTTAGTGTTGTTTATCGCTTTTTTTTTCCTGGTTTTTGTCTGTCATAGATACTGCTAGCAAAAAACTTTACTTCAACAATCCTATGCGGCCTGGTAAGCCTTAAATTCATAATTACATTCACTCCTCAGTATCATTTTAATTATCACCCTAGAATGTGTCTGGCTATAATCGTTGAGAATTTCATGAATATTAATCAGACTGCAAATACTTTCGCAAATTTATTTATTTATTTGTTTTAAGATCTTGTTAGAACAAATAGGAGATCTGGAGCAGAGTTACCTTAGCATCTTTTCAGATACATTTCACTATGTAAGTAAAGCAAAGTTATGTTACTGCATACTGTTTATAATTTCTGGTGCTCCTCCTTTTCTATCAGAGGAGCTGATGACTATTCAATGCTAATCTGAAATTATTATAGCTGTGGATTGAGAAGCCAAGATAGTCATTAGTTTGATTCTATTGCACCTCGTCTCTGGTTGATGTTTGCGTTTTCATTGTAGGCGAAGCACATTCTCTGAAAGTTGAAAACATTTTATTTAGGGGGAAGTCCAAGTACCGAGGGATACTTGTTTTTGAGGTTTGGAGTTCTCTCTGCATTTTAGTTTTCCTTCTTTACTATATATGTACATCAATGATTGTCTTACTGACATATCTAATATACAAATTGATTGATGTAAATTATTTTCTGCAGTCTTCCACCTATGGGAAGGTGCTTGTTCTTAATGGTATAGTTCAGTTGACAGAGAAAGATGAGTGTGCCAACCAGGAAATGATTGCTCATCTTCCACTTTGTTCAATTCCATCTCCCAAAAATGTGCGTATAATCTGTTCTATTTCTTTTTAATTATCATTTTTGACTGCTAATAATTTTCATTTGTCTTGCTGATACCATTACTTAATACTTGATCAATAATATTCTACAGAGTAGGCAAAACGCTGGGAAAAAAGAGGAGAAGCTTTAGGCAAATCTATGTTGCTCGCCGGTTAGAAGTGGGAGATTCACTTGACAGACTTTGTATATTCCGATTATTTGTGATTGCTGGGGTCATCTTGTTATTTTGATTTGTTTTTACTTCAATATTTCTCCTATGGTTGAGTATTAAAGTCTGTTTAATTCCCAGGGAGGAAAAATGGATGTTTATAGAATCAGGTAAGAGGAGGAGGATGTGCTGGTTGTTGGCTTATTTGTGACTTCTGTCTCTCTATCTTTGGTCAATTTGTGGTGTTGCATTGTAGAAATATATTATGAATATTTCTTGTGTGTTAATTCTTTACAAATATTACTTTCTAAAACTTTTTGCAATCTTAAAAAGGTTTTTTTTTTCAGATTTCTCCTAAACATTAAATAAGAAATTATAGGTAATAAAATTTTTTTTAAAAATCCCTTAAAGATTGGAACGTACTCTAACCCTATGGTTTTGTCTGACAGCATGTACAATGCGATGCATGGTCTGTTTACGTGTTATCCCCAGAAAGACCACAAAGCTACAACACAAGTACTTATTGGAGCATTTATAAAAAGAGGGCTAAAGCCGCTAAACTCTCATAACTTTTTTCGCCCTTTTTGGGCCAATATATTTTTAGTGCTTGACATGTGCTGTGTTGTGTCACTGCATGCCACGTAATTATTCACTATTTTTTTTTTTTGATGGTAACTCATGCACAGATTTTATTCATAAATTAAGGGAAGAAATAGGAAGCCAGTACATAATCAAGAATAGGGTCTGTCTCCTATTACAAAGTGCGCAACAGTATCTAGTATATCTTCTACCTAGAATTCATCTGCCTCAATAGTAAGTGCTCTTCATGCAAGTTCATGAGTAGCAGCATTTTCAGTCCGATAGACATGTTTTAATTGGCAAGACACAAAATAGGCCATCAGTCTCTACAATCAAGAAGAATGATACCCAAGCTTGAGTTCATATTGAGAGTTTTGCTATTGATTGTTGATACAATGGTTATGCAATCAGTTTCCACCTCAATTCTTCTTAAAGTTAGTGTTTGAGCCCATAGTAGAGCTCGCCGTAAACTGCAAGCTTCAGCAACTTCGGCCTCCACTGTCCCTTGCCCCTGACACACCATAGCTGCTATCACCTCCCCTTGATGGTCCCTTGCAAGTGCGCTCATACCAAATATATGTCCTTGTTTAGATATTGCTCCATCCACATTTATCTTTACATATCCCTCGTCTAGTGGGTGCTACCTGGTTTCACTTACTCTTTGAACAGCTGCAGCTCCCCTACCCTTAGACAGCAAGGCTTTCCTGTACTCCATCTTAAAGTGCAGGCTACGTTCAATAATATGATGGGGATTAAGGCCTCTGTTGTTCCACAGAGCATCGTTCCAGCTATTCCATAAGTTCCAACAGAATAGGCAGAAGAGCTCTAATTGTTGTTTCTCCAAGATGTTCGTGATGCTATCAAAAAAGTGGCAAAATCTTCCTCGTTAAGCTCAGAGACATGCAGACTCAAAGGACGACCTAACCAAACTGCTCGAGCAATAGAACAGGTCATAAAATAGTGAAAAAACATATTCCCTTTCCACACCACACATTGGGCACTCCAAGTCTACGTCCACATGTTTTTTGTGAAGATTGTCCTTTGTGGGAACAACATTCCTGTAAGCACTCTAGATAAGTAGACGTACTTTCTCTGGGATATCCAGGGACCATATTCGATTGCCGCCAAAGATTGTTGAGGATATGGATGGGCCAGCATGATCCCTATTCAAATTCATAGCTTTATGGTACCTAGATCGTACTGAATAGCATCATGTTTGGTAAAATTCCACATCCAACTATCCTCCCTCCCCATCCAACTTAAAGGTACAGCTAATATCAGTTGGGCTTTATGGGCATTGAAGGTCTGAAGAACTAGATCCCTCCTCCATGAGTTTGTTTCTTCATCAATTAGCTCGCATACAAATTGGAGATCATAACCCTCAGGGCGAGGAGATTGAACATAGAATTGTGTGTTGCTAGGTAGCCATGGATCATCCCAAATTTTTGTATCTCGGCCATTACCGCTCAGACGCCGACAACCCTGGTTCAGTAATCCAATTGAGTGCCAAATGCTTCGCCCAGTAACATTGCAAGGGCATTTCAGTTTTGCACAAAGAATATTCGAACAAGGAAAGTACTTTGCCTTCCTAATTCTTGCTGCTAAAGAGTTCGGATGCATTAACAATCGCCATCCCTGCTTCCCCAGCATAGGTAAGTTAAATTCCCGCATAGCACGGAAACCCAATCCTCTTGATTTTTTCGAGATCGCAAGCTTCGTCCATTCCACCCAGTGAATCTTATGCTCATCCAGTCATCCTCTCCTCTTCCCCACCAGTAATGGGTCATAATAAGCTTTAGATCTCTGCATATGGCCTTCGGCAAGAGGAAAAGACTCATCACATATGTTGGAAGAGATTACAGCATTTATTTTATGAGCACTTCCCTACCAGCTCTGGACAAAGGTTGTTCTCTCCATTCACCAATGTGCACCCAAAATTCACTCTTCACAATTAAAAAGGTGGCAATGCGCGATCTACCTATATCTGTAGGGAACCCAAGATGTCTTCCTTGACTGTCTGCTTCCTTTATGCCTAGTATATGCGAGATACGGCTCCTCGCCCTTGGTTGTACATTACTTCTGAAAGTGATGGATGATTTTTGTAGATTAATTACCTGGTCAGATGCTCGTTCATAAGCTCGCAAGATGGCTATTAAGTTTGCTGCTTCTGTTTCAGTGGCAAAGAGGAAAAGAAGACTGTCATCAGCGAATAATAAATGAGAAATTTTTTGTGCTCTCCTACAAATTTGGATGCTATGCAAGCTCCTGCTATTCTCTGCCTTGTTAATCATGGCTGTGAGACCTTCAGCATAGAGGATGAACAAGTAAGGCGATAGTGGATCGCCTTGTCTCAAGCCTCGAGAAGGGATGATCTGTCTTGCTTCCTTACCATTTAGTAAAACCTCGTATGTCACTGATGAAACACATTCCATGATTAATCTGATCCACCTTTCCACAAAGCTAAGTGCTTGCATAACCTGCTCCAAGTAAGGCCATTCAACCCGATCAAAAGCCTTACTCATATCCAACTTTATAGCTTGCTAGCCTCACTTCCTCCTCCCCCTATTCCGCATATAATGGAGTATTTCATTAGCAATCATAAAATTTTCAGTGATCAACTAATTTAGCAAGAAAGCACTCTGTTCTTCAAAAATAACTTTTTGAAGCACCATCTTAAACCTGTTTGCCAAGACCTTTGCTAGAACTCTATAAATCACATTACATAGGCTTATTGGACGCAAGTTTGCCATTGTTGTTGGTTCACTACATTTCGGAATAAGCACAATATGGGTGAAATTCAGCCCATGTGGAAGTACCTTTCCATTGTTCAAGAAATCTAAGCATGGCTTGACAATATCATCTTTTACAATACCCCAAAAACATTGGAAAAAACCAGGTGATAATCCATCCAGCCCTGGGGCCTTTGTAGGATGCATTTGATAGAGCGCCTTTATGAGATCTGCCTCCATGAAGGGCAATAGCAAGAAATCATTATCTGCTATTGTCACCCGAGGGCTTAAATAGCTGGTTACTTGCTCAATATTGCTAGGGGGGGTTGATGAAAACAATGAAGAGAAATAAGTTATAGCAATAACCTGCAACTTTTCAAAGTTATACTTCCATTAACCATCTACATCCATCAACTTCCCAACTCTATTTCTGTCTCATCTCCTAGAGGCTCTCTTGTGAAAGAAATGTGTGTTTCGGTCACCTTCCTACAACCAAATCTCACGTGAGTGTTGCCTCCACATAACCTCTTCTTTTTCTAACCATTCTTCCATTTTAGCAATCACCTTTTGTTCTTCCGCCTGAACTGTTATTAAGAAAGGCTTGTTTCTCAAAGAATCCAAGCTCTCCATACATTACTTTACCCGCTTTTGTACATGGCCAAAATGTGAATAATTCCATCTTTGGAGGTTAGTAGAACAAAGGTGCACCTTTTGCAATAAGTAAGAGCAATCACCCATGCCGACAAAAGAATCCCAGCTAGATTGAACTATTTCCTGATAGCCGGGGTCTTGAAGCTACATCTCCTCAAATTGGAAGCTCTTTTTGCATCTGGCTTGTCTTCGGTAATGGCTCTTAAGTGTGATCCATAAAGGAGAGTGATCAGAGGATAGATGAGGGAGTAGCCTAACTTTGGCTCTAGGAAATAAAGTTCTCCATCCGAGCGTAGCTAATCCTTTGTCCAACTTTTCCTCTGTCCAACTTTTCCTTAACACCACCTTGGCACCAAGTGAAATGACCACCAACCATCTATACTTCAGCCAAATCACATGCATCCACCACCTCTCTGAAGCCATGCAGCATCCATTCAGGTTGAGAGGTACCACCTAACTTTTCATCTAAATGTAAAAGGTCATTAAAATCCTCACTAATCAACCATGGCAGATCAAATTGAGCAGCTAAGTCGCGCAATAATAACCATGATCGCTTACGATTATGTCTCTCAAGATGACCATAATAGCTTGTAAATCACCATTTGTAGGATCCCATGCCTTCCACCTCTATGTCTATATGATTTTATGAGTAGGATAGTAGTGACAATTGAATATCAGGATTCCAAAGCATAGCTAAGCCTCCACTATGCCCCACCCTGTCCACAATAAAGTAGTGTTTAAAACCAAGTCTCCTTCTAACTTTCTCCATACCCCTTTTATTTAGTAGTCTCACATAAAAACACTATTACAGGCTTCTTTAGCCTCACCAATTCGATGAGGCAACAAATCGCTTGGTGGTTCCCAAGCCCCTGGCAGTTCCAGCAGAAAATACTCATGGTGATTGGAAGGCCTGCGTAGTAGCACCCACCGATAAGATAATAGCTTCTCCATCATCACTAATGCCTTTCCCACGTTTCTCACTTCCAGTTTGCCACTTGTGATAATCAAGGATTGCTCATCCTTTCGCTTGATTCTTCTTGAAGATAGTGAGGTGGGCTAGTTCTGGTGATGTCGCTCTCGAGCTTCCTTTTTCCAAGATCTATTCTTTGAGGGATTGGTACTTTGGGCAGAAGAGAACATAAATATTGGGCCTATAGCCCCTGTCTGGGTTGGGTAGATGGGCTCAAATTGACTTGGGCTTTGCTTGTCTGCTACAATGTGTGGAGTGTCTAGCCTAGACGATTCACAGCTCTTCATGAAAAGCATTTCCAACCTATGATCTAGTTGCGTTGAAATATTACTGTTAACTGTAGTAATCTCACTATTAGTGTTTATGGGATCCATTATAATCTTTTGAGTTTGCTGCCTTTCTATACGAGGGCATAATCATTTCGGGCTAGAATGGCGCTCATCAGGCGCATTACTCTTAATCTTGAGATTAGCTTTGATATTGGTATTTTCAATTTGCACAACCAAATCTTCCTTATTTCTTCGCCAATCACGACCATTAAAATCAATCATCTCTCCATGGGAACCGCGAGCTTCCAAATTAGAGTGGCTTTCCATTTTTGGGTTCTGGCGTCCCCACCGTGGCTCTTCTTCGATAGGGTTGCCGGAAGCGTCACGTAGCCATCTCCCATTATTCGCTGCAGCCCCTTGTTTTCCTCGCTTTGGCATGGCTCAAAGACTATCATCATAAGGATGCTTTGTCAAACCCATACTTTCCATCTCCAGTCCCAGCTCACAATCTTGTTCAACGTGGTCCAACATACCACACCAATAACAGAAATGTGGAAGCCGCTCATATCGGAAAGAGATCCAGAGTGGCCCATCCTTCAAGGAAAGCTTCATACCCCGACGTAAAGGCTTCTTTGAGTCAATACAAACTCGAACACGAATGAACTCCATACCCCACACCCGTCCATCCCCTGCGTCCACCTCGAGGAGTCTTCCAAGTTCTGCACCAATCCTTTCGCCCGTTGCTTTGGTCATACGTCCTGGTGGTAGGCCATAAATTTGAATCTAGAAAGGAACCTCAGCAAGTTCCTCTTTTGCCACTGGTTTGCCCTCCTACACCTCTTTTAGGGCCATGACATGGTCAGCAAACCGCCAAGGACCAGCAGCCATTACTCGATTCATATCCACTGGATGAAAAAAAATAAAGAGCAAACAGGTTATTTCCAAACTTTTCATGTGCATACCCTTGACTGGCCTCCATACACCAGCTAGCGTTGATTCCAGTGCTTCCATATTATAACGCTTCCGAGTCAGTACTATGCCGACAAGGCACCATTTTGAAATGCCCCCCTCCAGGTCAATACCATTTCCATCATCCAAATCGAGGCCATTGTCTTCCTCCGCCATCAAAGATAGCTGTTTTCCCATTGCCATCATCAAATCCCTCACATGTGTGTCGGCCATCATGAAAAAACGTCCAGATTCACAATGTCGTCACTGTGCTTCCAACTCTGAGGAGAAAGAAAACATTCCCAACCCTAGGAGAAAAAAATTAATTTTTAATCCGTAATTATTGACTATTATTTAAAAGCGTTGGATTTTGAAATCCAATTGCTTCCCTCTTTTTTTAAAAAAGAAACTAATTATTTTTTTAATATAAAAAATATAAATTAAA